TGCTTCATCTGCTGGAATGGTTCTCACTTCTGTTTATGGGGGTGTTCTTGGCGATAACCATTTCCCCAGATAGTTGTTGTTGGGTGATTTGTGCCATCTGGATAAATGGTTCAGAACTATTGGACCTTGCGTGTTGTGATTTCGAATCTGACATATCCAGCAGATGAAAAAGAGCGACGTCTTTGAAGACAGTGACAGAGAACGTTTGAATGGATGTACTTTTAACAATGTGTTTTGTCGGACTAATTTGGGAATCTAGATTTTACCTCTAGGCTCAAACAACAAATGAAAGTCCTTGAAGAACGGTTAGTGTACTTGTTCACTTTGTTTTGCAAGGATCTTCTTTGTTCCTGGTTCCATTTTGGCTCAAGGACTTTCATTTGTATGTGAAATATTTTTGTTTTCCCTCCCCCCTCACCTGTTGCGTTTTCTTTTGGGGTATGTGGTCGTGTGGCTTATTTCTTTTTTCACCGCTTATTCGATGCGAATGCATTTCGAAATGCATGCTGGATTCAATTTGGATGACAAAGCCATCATCCGGATTTGTACTCGTATTCTCTGCAATTTGTAGCAAGACTCAGATCAGCTTGTTTAGCTGCACTATAAGCTTTCACAGCCCTCCGGGTCTATATTCGCAGTTCTTGGTCATCTCTCCAAATTGGAGATGACCTGTATCAATTATTTGGCGATATTCGTACATCTCCACGGCGTGGTTCAATGGTCTTACCATTTCGACTTATCCGGGATGTTTGTGATTTCATCCTTGGTTTGCCCCCTCAGGATTGTTTGTTGTTGCTTTTGCTGTGATTCTCTGTGGGTGATTTCACTGCAACGTCCTACGGATTTCAGTAGCCACGCATTGATGAAATTTGCAATATCACGCAATTGAGAGAGTCACATCGGATTACAATCCCGTGCTCTCTTCTTCTCTGCCGATCCGTTCTTTTCAGTGAATCTCCAGGACAATTCACTTGGCGTTTGTGGCGTTTTTCCATCCTTCTTTTGATTGATATTCCTGGTCAGATTCATATATATCCAGGATGGGTGATTTGTGCCATCTTGATAAATGGTTCAGAACTATTGGACCTTGCGTGTTGTGATTTCGAATCTGACATATCCAGCAGATGAAAAAGAGCGACGTCTTTGAAGACAGTGACAGAGAACGTTTGAATGGATGTACTTTTAACAATGTGTTTTGTCGGACTAATTTGGGAATCTAGATTTTACCTCTAGGCCCTATAGGCTCAAACAACAAATGAAAGTCCTTGAAGAACGGTGGTTTTCGATGCGCCGGGGTGATGGGGCCAAATTCAAGCACCTTCTTTGCCCTGTAGATGATTTGCGCTTGCAGTTGGTGGGCCGTGGGCATACCTAAAACATTACTCCATGCATGAAGTCCGATTGGAAACATGGCCAAATGGAGGAGTAGATACTCCTGCGTGTGCGCTATGCCAGCAATAGTGCCACATTTTGCGTTCCAATCGTCTTGTCTGCTCAAAGAAGGCCCATACACATGAGCTTCTTTCCTACAAGCCAGGAGAACATCCCAGTCGTCATCTAATTCCCCTCCGCCTAATCCAGTGCACTGAGCATCCAGGTATCCTGTGTCAGTGGGATTAAGCTGCCATATGGTGCTTTCGAACACAACCGTTTTCCACTCGCTGTATTTCGGGTCTGCATGACTAGCAAGAATCTCGTTAATGGTCAGCTCGGGGTTCTTCGTCTCTAAATTCAGTTTCTTTCGGAGTATCTCCAGGAGGGGACGGACCTCGTTTGTGTGGAGCTGCAAGCTAGCATCTTGTCCGCAGAGGACCTGCATGGATTGGCAATCTTGGGGCCATGGTGTATGGTCATTGTAGCGATGGGGCATTGCTTCTGGCGTCCAGAGGCACTGGAGCAGTAGTACTTGCATGTGGGTAAGTTTGCGTTGCTCCGCAACGTAGGATTTGGCAACGAACTTGCTCCCTCGGACAAAATCACTGCCGGTGGGGTGGGCCCATAGCGGAGGTAGTTGGTCAATGCCGAGCAGGGCTACTGCTAGCGGGTAGGGGCCTTGTTTCTGCCATTTTGAAGCTTTTTGCCTATTCGCACTTTGTTTCCCTGGAAGGCATGCACGATTGGGGGCAGGCAATAGGCGTCATCAAGGTCCTTGCTCTGGAAGAGTTTATCCCCAGGAAGGCAGAGGATGGGGAAGTTGGATGGGAAGACCGACATGGGTGAAAGTGCCCCTTGTTCGAAGATGGGTCGGGCCCAGGTTAGGAAAGGCGGGGTTCTGTGGATAAAATTGGGCCCAAGGTAAATGCCGTGTCCGTGCCGTGGCCATTCTACCCCATGCGCGGGGATTGGGAAGGCGACTGTTCCAGCCCATTCACCTAGCATGGCCCAGGCATGTGTCCAGTCCAATGGGGTCCTTGCTTTGCATCCCATTAACGGGGTGAGGAGTAGACCTCCGCGGAGGGCTTCAGCTGGATCTTCTGGCACTGCAGTGGTGGCAAGGAAGCTAGCTCGGCTGTTGCGGAGTTCGGCAACCCATTCGTCGGGGGATTTGTTGTCAACTGTGTTGGCAATGCGCCTTGACTTGTGCGCTCGGGTGTAGCTAGCGTCCAACATGGTGGCTTCGCTGGTTGCGGTTGATGACATGTCTGCACCTTGCGTGTGTTCAGGCACTGCAGGCTCTTGGGCCATGTCGACATCATCGGGCCGAGCTGGTATGTGACCCGTAACTATGATGAGACCCGCGTTCAGTTCTGCTTTAGACTCTGTCATGAGGAGAACGGCTGGTGGGCAGCTGTTTGTACTGGCCATTGTGTGGTGCTGCATTGCTTCTGCGCGGCTTGTCTGATCTGTCATGAGACGACTTACCAATTCCGCTACTTCAAACAGCGTGGTAGGGACACAATCCGAGTCAGTGAGTGCAAAGTTTACAGTAGGGTGTACTAGGCATAGGGCTTCAAGGACAAAGGCGCCAGCCCATGTGAAGTGCACTTGATTCAGTCCTGTATCTGGGCAAATCGGGACATAAATGGCAGTGGTTTTCTCCTTGTATGGACCTATGACTTCACACCTGCTCTTTATCCATGGGGCAAAATAGGGCCAGTAATCCGGATGGTTCTGGCTAGGCAGTTCACGGTTGTCGACGAAGACATATGCCGTGTCGTACTGGGAGAGCCATGCTAGGTTACTTACAATCCATCGGTAAAGGGCGGTATAGTCGACTTGGCTGGTGGCTGGCTGTTGGGCTCCGCTGCATGGTGCCTATGGTCTTCGTGGGATACATAGGGGGTGCTCGAGGCATCTGGCTGGAGCCAACATCTGCCCACCTCCACATCATCCCTGTGTCATCCATACCAAGTGGAGTCTCAATATCTTTCATGGAGCTGAAGGCTTCATCCATTTGATGAGCGAGGTAGGTAATGCCATCGACGTCCTGGAAGTTGATGGGTGCTGCAACGTCCCATTGCTCTCTAGGCGGGGGCTCAGTCCCTGCCAAGAAATAGGGAGTGTCATCATTGGCGTCGTAGTACAGAGTGTCTTCACTGGCAGCCGATGCTTCATCTGGAGGCTTGCCAGTTGTGTCTGGTTCTGTCTGGTCAGTGTCCGTGTCCGAGTTGTCAGGATCATCCGGTGCCAAGGAAACAAATCTGTTGCTCACCATTAGCTGCTGGAACATGCCTGAGTCGGAAAGCTTCTGAACAACCGGTATCCGGTGTCAGACGGTGCGTGAGTGAATGGGGCACTGGAAATGAAAGGCGAATTGGGTAAGGGTCACACTATATCGGTAGCGCCTATAAGCCTAGGAGAGGCATCTTTCTCCCTGCCATAGGCGTGACCTCCAACTTCCTCATCGCGTTTCACGGGCGGTTGCAACCCATCTCCCTTCATTGTAGCAGAAACCTGTGCTTGCTCTTGCGGGAGTAGATGTGTGGTGTCGTTCTGCCAGTTCTCTGTTGCGCCACCTCGACAGTGTAAGTGGGTTTGAAGATTATAGAATTGATTTCATGTGTTTGGTTCACAGATTGAACATCTTTGACCCAATTGCATGGCCAAGGGCGACTTAGCACAGTGGCATGAATCATCAAAGATCTTGAAAGTGATTTCAGGCAGTCCAAGAGGCTGCTTTGCATGGCATGCAAGTTGAGGCTCAGCAGGGGATGCATTTACAAATACCTTTCATGCCTCCAACACTCAACATGTTTTTTCTGTCTGGATTTGGAGAAAGCATGTGCTGCTCTTTTCAATCTTACGATAAGTATTTCGATGTGCAAATGCAGGAGTTGCCAGCTGAAGATCTTTGCAAGACTTCCCAACCTGCTGAAAAGGAGGCTTCGCAGGCAATAGTTTTGAACACTTTTGAACCGCTGGTTGTCTTTGAACAAGTGTATCGAACTTGTCTCAGAACGACATTGCTCGCTTTTGCTTCACCACTTTTGTTGACACACGTTTCTTTCGCATTTTTCGCAGCTCAGGGTTTGACAAAAACCCAAGCAAATTTCCTGCGCAGCTTCACCTCTCAATTTGACTTTCAGCATGTGGTTGGAACGCCTGTCGAGTGACATTCTTGAGCAACAACAGAGTAAATCCTCCAGCAAACCGGCGTGATCCTTGCACATTCCTACTGCCCAATCGCATAAGCGGTGCATTCAAAATTAGTAAGGGCGGGCCCGTTTGTTCAATGTATGCTCCAAACCATGCAAAACGATAAGGAATATAGAAAAACAATAACCACCGAATATATGTCATCATCTGCAGGCATAACAATATGATAACCAACACGATAACAAAATCACACTTAGAGCACTGTTGGTAGAGCTTGGGGTTCGGCTACCAACAGACGTAGTAAGATTTCAAATCTCACCAAATGCATGTTACAGTCCTGGATCATGTGAATATCAGTCATTGCAACACTATTGGTCTTCGATGAACGCACAAGCTTTTATGATTATTGATATTCACTGTAAAACGATAAGGAATAAAAACATACGATGACAAAAACAGGCTAACCATGATCCCGCTCTCGCGAAAAGAACGCGAGCTTTGGACCTCTTGTGGAAAGCTCCTCGGCAGCGATGATTTTCGATTTTGCTATCTTTTGATGATTTCTGGTTTTGGCACGCACCTGAACGTATTGACCTTAGACAGAAACATGGACACTTGCACACATGCCGTAGGACATTTCATGGATCTGTTTTTCCAGCTGAGTCAGATATCATTTTGAACGTCATGATATTGCGATCCGCCCAGGGGCAGTCCCGCGGCATTTTCATATTTGGCCGAGGCCGTAACGGAATGGGAGAGGAAAAATATGGAAAAATCATGCAGTGCAGGAAATCATAAGCACCTAACAAACCATCCGAAAGTGATCGATCAACTGTCAACCATCCGAAAGCATCTCCATTTTAGAAGCCCTAGAATGCAGATACATCAAACCACCAGCAACAGGTTATTTATCAACCCATTAAGACATCGTTGAACCATCAATCATCCATTGGGAAGCAGCTCTAGCTCCGCAGTGCTGGAAAGCTGTGTTAAGTAACCATCAATAAACTATCTTTACATCCACGGCAAAGTTTCAATGCTCTACCAAGACACTGCAAAACAACGACCCATAAACACTACGTAAACCACCAGGAAGTGGTCACTAAACCATCAACATGAGTGTGAGTAGCTCCATTTCGGTAGTCATGAAGTCGATTGAACCTTGTTCGATTCTTTCAACCTGTAGCTTTCGTTCACCCCACCTGGGATTGAGCATGCCATATTTATGAATTTGATTCATCATGTGATGAATATCGATCATGGGTCATGACTCATGACTGAAATTCTCCGATCTTTCTCTCGATGCTTTGCCGCCATTGCAGGGACTGGAGGAGGCGCACTTCTCCCTCCGCAAGGTCTCAAGTGGACAGGGGATTCGGATTGGATTCGGTATGACTTGGTGATGACATTTGCCATTCCACATGTTTCTTGGTTGTTCCGGAAACAAAATCAAGAAGCATGCCTTTTCACCGGTAGCTATATCCTCAAGGGTTTGGATCAGACTGTCCAACCAACATTCCGAGACTTAACAGTCATCTTGAAAGATACGATGTGGTTGACGCAGTGTAATTAAGAAATACAAAAGCACAAACTGTCAGCGCTCAGCAAACTTAAAACAACATTAAGATTCGCTGAGTGCTGCTCTTTCGAAAGGTTCATGGACACTTAGATTGAACAATGACATTGACTTAGTGTGTTGATTTTGTTGGTTGCACTGATTCTCTCTAGAAGTTGGATGTGTTCGTGGAAGCGCAGTGGATCTTGGCGCAAGGCCCAAGAGAAAGATCGAGCCAGTAGCTCCCTCAGTTAAATGGTTTGCTCCCACTCCAAGCATTTTGAAGCGTGGCTTTCACCTTAAACCCCGTCTCCCAAAGGCAAGGGCACGCAGAAAGGCAAGACTCACATTGAGTTCAAAAAATGTACTTTCCCTCTAGGCTTGCAGCGTATCAACGACTTGGAAGATCAATTGCAGAACGCGAAGGCAACGCGAAGTGAGTAAAGATCAGCATATTATGATAGCAAGTGATTTTGAGATAGGTTGAGGTAGTGTTGTCTGTTCATGATCGCCTAACATTTTGAGCTTTGAGATGATGCACAGATTGGGAGCAGCCAGATTTAAAAGCTTTGAATTTCTCGTCACGTGTTTTGTGGGAAAAGTCCTGTGACGAGTGGCCCGCTAGGCTGCTCTGCACCAAAAAACCTTGGAATGCCAGGCTCGGACCTGCGTGAATGTGTCTATTTTTGGTTTGTTCTCCTCGTATCTTCGAAGGGGGCTTGCCCCGGAGGCAAAAAATTGGAAAGATTGTATGTTGTTTTTTTTCGAACCGAAATCCACATCCAAATTCACAATTTGAGGGACGTTAAAGATTGTGTTTTGTTTCTTGTGACTCTGTCTCGCGGATGAAATCAAGACAAAATGGTTTGTTCGGCTTCTCTGGAACAACAAGTCAACCAGACCTAGGCTCGAAACTGTGCTGGTTGTTTGTATGTTTTCTCCTATTTAGATCATTGCTGCCACATACACACACAGTTGAAAAAAGTAGAGAAGGTGAAGCTGGCTATGTGGATGCCACCGGTTTGGTTGAAACTAGCCACACCACAAGCATGGCTTTTACCATGAACATACATATGAGATCTTTATAGATCAAGCAATGGCGTTCAGCTCAACTCATGATCCTCTCCAATTTTGATGATTGCATTTGGTGACAGCTTATTATCGGTCACGACTTCTTAATCGGTACCTGGCTACGACCTGAAATGGGCGACATGGCCAGACGATTTTTTGTCCAGCTTTGTCACCTCGTCAATGAAAGACGACTTGGTGAACCATTCGGCCCCTTGGCCGTCACAGTCATGACTCAGGGCGAAAACCGTGGCATCAAGCGGAGCCACTGCATCTGCCCATTTGCTTCCGCGCATAGATTGAACACCTAAAGCTAGGAACATTTGAGTGTGAAAGCGCCAAACAAAAACATACAAACAGCATTGAAATTCTGCAACCAAAAATGTGTAACCATTCAACCAAGGCGCGCTTGATGAGCTCATAAACGGCGTTGTGGTCGTCTTGGAACCCCTTGGTGATGTGAAACTTCAGTTTGTTTTGCCGGGCTGGCTTGAAACAAGGGAGCAGCCCGCCTTTGCCTTTGATGGCTGAACTGTTGATGACTGCCTTCCCGAGAAGCGACTGCATCTTCAACGACAAACAAGTCAGCTCCCCATCTGTCCTCTGTCACCACCAGGCGGTGCGTCTGTAGCCTTTGGATCAAATCTGGAGAGGATGATTGAACCCAGCATGATTTTCCAGACCAAGAGTCGCAATCACCATCTTGGTTTTTTCATTTGCGCTTTCTCGCCTTCTGCGTTCAGCAATCTTTTTCTTGTCATTTTCAGTGTCCAATGTGTCCAATCTCTTTCTTTCAATGATCGCATCTTCGAGTTCATCGGTCTTGTTCACGGTGCCAAACTCAATTGCCTCCAGCAATTGTTTTTGTTGCTTGTTCCCCAGATAGCGTCAGCTTTTAGGGGTTCTTACTTCTCAATGACTGGGTGCCTGATCTCCAAAATGCTTCCACCGCTACCGCCCTCCATGCTCCCAGCTTTGTCTCCCTTCTTGTCTCCCACCACTTGGGTGACTGATTGCCAACATGTTTCTGCCGCGGCCGCCTTGTCTCCCAGCTTCGTCTCCCAGCTTTGTCTCCCTTCTTGTCTCCCACCACTTGGGGTACAGTAGCTGGTTGCCAAAATGCTTCTGCCGCTGCCGCCTCGTCTCCCAGCTTCGTCTTTCTTCTTGCCTCCCACCGCCTGGGGTACCTGATTGCCAAAGTGTTTCTGCCGCTGCCGCCTTGTCTTCCAGCTTTGTCTCCCAGCTTTGTCTCCCTTCTGGTCCCCCTTCTTGCCCCTGCAGGGAGTGGGGTACTTGATTTGCAAACTTATCTTTATTTTTGTTTCTCTTTTTGTGTCTCTTTTGTTTTTCTTTCAGTCTCTCACTTGGATTTTGGGTTAGTGGTTTTGGTTGTGCTGGCTCCGACTTCGGTTTTGATTTTGAATGCTAGAGGCCGGCTTATTTCAACAGAGCTTTGGAACAGAGCTTGTTTTCTGAACAGCCATTGAGTTCAAGAGTACCATAAACAGCTATCGTGGGCCTATGCCGGTGTAATCTTTCTGAAATCCCGCCTCATAGTCATGGTCTTCTGCCCATTGATGACCACCTTCAAGTCCAGCAAGGTCCCAGTCCAGGTTTTCGGCATTGTCAACAGCCTGCCCAACTTGCCGCCTCCGCTTGCTGAGCCACTCTTTTATTGTTCCATCATCCTCAGTCTTCCGCTTCAAGCCTTTGTCAATGCGTTCTTCTTTGCGTTCTCGTCCTGGCAGGGTCACTTTTCAAGCTTGTGAATGTGCACCTGTTCCATTCATGACATGGATAAATAAAGTTTTCACATGAACATTTTACAATTAAACGATCTGTCCTGGGCCAGGGGCACATTTCAAGTTCAACTCCCGCGCTGCAGCACAAATCTTGCCTACTTGTATGTCAAAGTCGCAACAAAGCAAGCGAATGTTCCTCGATTCAAACTCAACAGACGCTCCACTCCTCCCCGTTGCATTGTGGTACTCGGACTTGCTGAAATTTTGCTCGGAAGCTGACGTTCAAGCTTGCCAGGCCAAGTATCGCCAGAGAACAGGGGCAATGTATGGCAATGTTGTCAGTGGGGAAGTTGTCTTTCTTCATCACTCTTGTAAGGGTTTGACACCAGGCTTCCGGACTTCCGCACTCAGTCATATTTGCTTTCCTGCTGCACCGTCAGAATTTCATCAACATGACAAATAACATTTTGATGGGAAAAAACACAACATGACATGGCAATGAAACTAAACTAGCGAACCTCGTGGCCATGGGGCGTAGCCGCTGCAGTTCTGACAGCAACCCAGCTCCATTCACACCAAAAGCCTTTGCCAAACGGTTGGCACAGGCTGCATCGTCGTGATTTTGTCTCCCACTTGGGGGTACCTTGGGATGGACGATTTCCTGCTTTTTTTCCAGCTTGTGTCCTACTTCCCCTCCTTTTGCCCAAAGAGTTTACTATACTGTTGGGGTTCTTTCTCTCTTGAAAGGGGGGCCTTAGTGGGAAGGAGGATTTCTGGTCTTGTCTCCCCGCTTGCTTTCCATTTTTTTTGGTGGTCTTTTGTCTCCCAACTTGTTTCCGATTTGTCTGCTTCCTTGTCTCTCTTCTGTCTCCCATTGCTGTCTTGTGTCCCCCACTTGTCTCCTAACTTGCTTCCCTCTTCTCTCCTCGCTATGGTTGTTCCCCGTGTGACTCCCACTGTTTTCTTTTGTCGCCTGCTTGTCTTTTCCCTCCTCCTCCTCTTGTCTCCGACGGAAGATTTTGCGCTTGTCTTCCGTCAGTCTCCCCTTCCTTCCTTGATTCCCACTTGTCGCCGAACTTCTTGCCCGTTTGGGACGGAGGATTTTGGACCATTTTCGGCATTGGTCCACATGTCTCCCACTTCTTCTCGTGTTGTTTTTGTCTCTCACTTTTTCCTCGTCCTTCCTTACTGCATGTTTCCAGCGTTCTTGACGCTTGTTTCCGAGGGGGCGGTTGACCGGAAAGGCAAAGCTGTATAAGAAGAGCGCTCAAAAGATGCTCGCGGACCTGTTTACCAAACCCTTGGATTCAGGCCGAATGAAAATGCTCTTAGAGAAACTCAACTTCCACCTTTGCAGAGGAAGACGCCATTTAGCATTTGACGCGTGAAGACCAAATGGGGCTGAGCCAGGCTAGGGTAGAACGACTTAGACTTGTACAGTCGCAGCAAATTCTCACTCGTACTCTGCCTAGGGCCAGAGACATTCCTTCGGGAGGCATGTAGAGATGTAGCGCCTAGTACAGTCATGTCTGTTCATGCTATGGCATGCATGTTGTATAGATGCCGTAGCACCTTTTCAAGACTTTTAGAGACTTTATAGTAGATTTGGAGTTGGGAGCTAGCTGTCTGTAGACTAGCCCAGAACGACTTCGAGCCCAATCGCGAAAAGGGGATCAGCACGATGTGGTTGCGTATCCCACTTGAAACATTAAGTTTGCAGATGCCTTTGGTCGATTGCGCAATTTTAGCTTCACCATGGTGTCCTTTATTTGTTTAAGTAAATGGTTGATTAATCACCCATTCGCATGATGGATTTGTTTGAACAGAAATCAGAAGTACCAAAATGACCCAGGAAAAAACATCACACTAGAGGACCCACAAAACAATCCATGGGTACAGAACAATTTGGAGATGATTTCTTTCCACAATAGCGGACCTAGAGATTAATCAGCATACCACATTATACCCATATAGAACCAGACATGATGAGGGTATATTGGAATACTGTTACCAATGTTTTTTACGGAGTTTCGGGCCCTTCAACGGCGAAGGATTTCATCTTGGCCATGTTACAAAACCTCGGTTTTCACGCGGTTTTGGGCTTGAAGGGGGGCGTCCGGGAAGGACAATTTGGCATCTGAAACTTGTTTGCTCTGGATCGGCGCTTTTGGCCGCTGCGCTGCTGCTGCTGCTCATGCCTGCTTCCCTTCATGCTTGTTTCCCTTCATGTTTGTCGCCCTTTCTCCGATTGTCTAACCGTTTTCGTCATCCGCTCTCTCTTTTCAATGAAGGAACCTTGCTTGACATGGTGGTACTGCTACGGTTTGAGAGACGCCGAACTTTCGAGATCCCGGACGAGTAAATCCCTATCGTGTGACGTAAGACGTCATGTAGTTATGAAATGTTAGGACTATTTATGAGACGTTCCTGCCGTATTCTTAGGGATGGTTATCGGGATTGGCTTATGGATGTGGTTGGTTTGGTTCGGTGGGGTAGTAATTGTTCATCCAACATTTGCCGAAACTCTTGAGGCGACTGGCTTCATGCAGCAGTAGCTTGATTTGTTCATGTGCCATGGAAGGTATGATGTTTTTTTTCCAAATTTAGGAGACAGGAGTGTTCCTGGATGTCTCATTCTCTTTCGGCAAAGCCGGTTGAATCCGACAGGACTCAAGTTTGTTGTCTCCATGTTTTGTCCCTGCCTGGTGCTAGATGTGCTAGGCCACCGACCGAAAAGGATCGCAGAGGTGGCTCAGGGCTTGGATTGGGCACAGCTGGTGCTTTGATCAAAACTGCCCATCTTCTGCAAGCCAATGCATGTCTTTGATTTCAAGAGTTTTGGACTGCAGATGAATGATTCCATGTTCAAGTTTGCAGACCGAAATTACCCTGAACAGTGACGGTGACCAGAAAGATACGCACTGATGTGGCTTAGGTTATTTCAATTCAGTTCAGCTCCTTCTCAGTTTGTGAAGCAACAGATATCACCAAATCGTTCAGCGGAGTGTCCAGAGTTCGATTTTGAACATTTGCCAGGCCTTCCATGCCAACGGCGCCTCCAGATTTGCGAGAGGCAGACTGCGAAAACGGTCGAAGTCGCGCATGGGTCTACCCGTTACGGGCGGTCATCAGTTGAGACATTTTGAAATGCATTGTACCCCTTGTTGCGATGAATGAAATCGCCTCATGCAATTGGATCATGTCGAAGCTTTCTGAAACGGTTGACTTTCCCGAGCCTTCTTGGTTCAGGCGCTTCTCGCATTCGGCGCACCAAAGGCGCGTCAACGGCAGAGTCCGAAGCCATCCAGACTGCTCGACACTCCGCGCGCTTTAACTGATCTGCTTGTTTTTATTCGGTTGGAAATCATTGATATTTCGGCGATTATGCCCATTGATCGGTATTGGACTGTCATCCCTTCGTTGAGAAGGGTCAATTTAGGTGGACATGTTACTCGTATCTCTTTCAATTTTGCATGATTTCTGCGCATCACCGCTGCTACCCCGCTGCAAATTTCCATGTTGTCCGTAGAAGTGATTGCAGCTACTTGCAGGTCGCAACATCGTAGATGGAGAATAAGTCTTTGTGACGCATTTGATGCACTGATGCAGTTTGGTTCCCAAACGTGGGCCTTTTGGGTACGGTACCTTTTGGGTACGGTGGTATGGTGTTGTATGTATGGACAACCCCTTTGACCTGTCAGGCAACAGAAGCTGCCAAGCAGGATGAGTTGAAGGTGTCGCATGATGTGATGAGGTATTTTTTGAGATCCTGGAAATTGATGTTTGATGTGGATGTTTGCGCTTTTGACATGCACGATGGCATGATGATCAAGCCTTGCAAGGGCTGGCAGGGCTGCCGTTCAAGTCAAACAATTTGAAAGATTTTTGCAAAACATCGATAGTCTACTATGATCTCCTGCGGTAGTACTGAAAACTTGTGGCGCAGCACCGCGAACACCAGGCAAACCCTGAGCCGAATACACCACAAAGTTGCAGCACGAAGGCAGACGGCAGACAAGGGTCCTGTGTTAACATTTTTGAAGCACAGCGCAACTGGGGACAGGGAAGGGGCTGACATCGCTGGTGTTGTTCTGCAGGCGGGCAGTGCGCAATGGAACCCAGATTTTACTTGCAGCCTTGACGCATTGCAGGCAGATAAGGCCTTGTTTGTGATGTGTTTCTTCAGTGGGTCGATCAAACATTCAGGAAATTTCATGCAAGAAAACACTTCGACGCAATTTGACTTGTGATTTTGCTGGTGTGTCACGTCAAACGATGTCACATCATGTCATCGTTCCTTTTGCACGAGGTGCCTGCCGTGAACTCCGCGCAGAAGAGACAAACGGAGCGAAAGGCTGGATTGGCCAGCGCCATGTTGTGAATAGCGCGTGTTTTTCATTGCGGATGTTTTTCTGTGACAGTCAGTTTGGCAGGTCTTAAATTGCCACCAATACCAGTGGACCAATGCGTTCAGTGACGCCTTCAATGAAGTAAAGGCCTTGATTCTGCATCCATCTTTACTTTGGGACTGCGAGATAGTGTAAAGCTGTAAAGCCGCAGTCGGCATGTATAACTGACCTGATTCAGCGCCAAAAAGATATCACGCTCAGCCTTTTCTGCAAAATACAGAACCAGTGGCGCGGCGTTCGCCACGGGCAGGCAAACCCTGAGCCGAGTACACCGCGAAGTTGCAGCACGCAGGCAGACGCCGGAGCACTGTGCTGCAACGTGTAGAATAGAAGGGATTGACATCGCTGGTGTTCAGGTGGGAAGTGCGCAATGGAGCCCAGATTCTACTTGGAGCCTTGATACGTTGCAGGCGGACAAGGCCTTGCCTGTGACTCGTTGACATGTTTCTTCAGTTCTTGTTTTAGGTCAGGGTTTCAAAATCGATTGGTGCGTGCACTCTTGTTGGCCAAGTTTAGTTTATTTCTTGCTGGAAAACCTTCTGATGAAGCTCACAAGACTGTTTTCTTGTTGCTGGATTTCTGTGTTGCTGCTCCGCTGCTCGCTCCGTTTTACTTTTGTGCCAAACCTTTCGCAATGTGATGACCTGATGGTGCAGCGCATGTGCCTTTGACACATGTTTGCATGCATTGATGGTCAGAAAGTCTGTTGTGGGTGCACTTTTCATTGTTTTGCCGCATATGTCTCTTGACGCTCCAGCAAGTCTTGGAAAAAGATACTGTATGGAATTACCAATGAACTATTTGATATACCAGCTCACGAAAGACATAATAGAGCGCGCTGAAGAACTTGCTGGGCCTTGTCTTTTGTTCCCCAGCGGCTTCGATGTTGACTTTGCAGCGGGCCATCTGCGGGTGCATTGCGTTTCTTACTCATCTTTTCACTTTTCTCATCTTTTTTTCCAACAATATGTAAGATCATGTCTAAAACAGTGAGTGAATCCAGCAACGCTGTGATAACATCCCTATAATGTGAACCGTAATCATCGTCCTGCGATGCAAGTCTTGAATATTGGATGAAGCACGTTTTGAATCTTCGGCGTTCAATATTTCTACGTTGCAAAAAACTTGATGAAAGTCTTTCGTGAACGTCCTCAGAAAGTCCAACTGTTCCAGAGAGAGGCATTGTTGAGACTTGATCAGGCCCCTATTGGCCTCGGTGGAGAAACGCCGAGGTGAGCTCAGACTCTTCATCCCCACGCGATTTGGCTGCGCGCAACATTTGAGTCCACCTGTTTCAGGATGAAGAGTCTGAGCACAACGACATTTGCAACCTCTCCCCCGAATTCTCCAGAGGCTGGGGAGGTTACCAATGTAGGAAATACCATGCGGATCCATGCGGTATCAGACATATATATCATATATCATACATATGTAGGCATATACAAATATATATATATACACAATATATACGCATATGAATGAATATGTATATATATATATATACATATCACACATACATCATTGATATATCGTTCATAAACCGACACATCAAAAAACATGCATAGGTTTATAGAATGTATCAAGTATTGTTCCCACGCAAATCACACAGACGTATAGCAAGATATATCATAGATTGACTATAAATATCAAACATATATCTTGCACATGTCATTGGCACATAACCGATACATCATCAATGTCATTGGCCCTTCTCACCATTTCTTGCAGTCGGAAAGTGCCGAAAGCGCAGAGCGCGCAGAACGTGCAGAAAGGCGCAGAAGCGGACTCGTGAGTGCCTTGATGCTGAGTGCCCACGGCTGCACGTCGGCCCTAGGTGTGACAAGTTTGGAGAGGAAGAGAGATCTTGGGAGGCCGGCGTGTTTGAGTTGAATGTCACAGCATGCTGTGTTTTAAGAGTACCTGTACATGACCTGACTGACCCCCTGCTTTGCACAGGGGCTTGTGAGCTTCATCAGGTTTCCTGCACCCAGTCATTGATGTGTTTTGAAGAATCATCTTTTAGGCATAGGATTCATTGCATCACCGGACACCACCTTTCTGCCAATTGTCGCGCAGCTTATCCCTATGTGCTTCAGATGGCTGCAACTTTTTGCAAACCATGTTCGAAAATTAGTTCGGAAGCGGGCTCTGCACGCCTGTTCCACGGAGCCTTTTTCCTCGGATTGTTCTTTTGCATCAAAGGCGCCAGCGGCAGGAACTCAGGAGGCGTGCTGTGAAGTGCTGTGTTCCTTTGATTCCTTCCTCCTCACGACAGAGTTGCCCCTTTGATTTTCCAGGCAACTCCAGCACTTCCAGAGCACGATTCTCAGTTCTTGACGACCGCGCGCTGTAAAACTTGAAGCATCGGTGCCATTGGCTGCCATGCGCCACGCAGGAGATTTGTCAGCGAGATGTTGCCATGGCTGCCTGTGCATCCCTCAGTTGTGGTGGGTGGAATTGAGGCTAAGTGCTCTTCTCGCCGGTAATCGCACAGCGCGAAAATTTGCAAAACTTTTCGCAAAAAGTCAAAAAGTCAAAAAGTTTTCGACTTTTCGAATTTTTCGATTTTTTCGACTTTTCAAGCAGAAATCTCCTGGAATGTGAACTTTTCGACTTTTCGACTTTTCGAATTTTTCGAACTTTTCGAACTTTTCGACTTTTCAACTTTTCGAATTTTTCGAATTTTCGACTTTTCGAGCAGAAACCTCCTGGAATCTGAACTTTTCGACTTTTCGAATTTTTCGAACTTTTCAACTTTTCGGGTGAAACTTTTCTACCACGGTTGGAGTTTTCAGCGAAAAGTTGCGTTTGAACCACCCAAACAATACACCAAACTGGGTACGCAAGGGTTCCTGTCTTATCATCTATCCTCCACCAGAAGGCAAGCGAGGTCCAGGTTTTGTGGGTCGCGAAAATGCCTAGCCAGAAACCCACAAAAAGGCCGCATCGATTTGGGTTGAGATGGGTAGTTGTTAAATGGATGTGTAAATAAAGTAATAATATCCCCGGTAAGGCTACACATATAATACTATACCATGTTATTTTATATAATTTGACATTAAGTTGCATTATGCTACATTATGAAATATTTTTCTATAACACACAACACATCACAAAACCATATCATTCTGTATGACATCCCATGATGTTACCGGTATGTTATATTGCATTATTTTATATTGCATTATTTTATATTGCATTATAACTATATAAAACATATTATGTATAAACATATTTTACCTATGATATTATATTATATTGTATCAGATGATATTTTACCATATTATATTATACTATGCTCTATTATAATATTTTATATTATATTGGATCTTATATTATTTTTTTTTATTTTATTATGAAATATATTGTATATTATTTTATTGTAGCATAATATGTTTTAATATATTATATTATATTATTATATTTTATTATATTATATATTATATCATAATATATTATTATTTACTATATTATACTATATTATATTATATTACATTATATTATATTACATTATATTATATTATATTGTATAATATTTTTTTATATTGTATTATATTCTATTTTATTTTATCATATTGTATTATATCATATTAAAATAAATAATATCATACTATTTTATATCATATTTTTAAATATATGATATTGTATTATATTATACTATATTTTTTTAGTGCTAGTCAATATATATATATTTATTGATTTATATTTACATTATCAGTATCATGATAACTCAGAACTATGCAACTGTTCCTTACTTATTTATTGTTATTATTTTATCAAGAACGCATACATGACTTTCAAAGTCCAGTTTTGTTGAATATGAAGTGGATTGCACATGTCATGTCCAACCAAGATCAGTGGACTTTTATATATGTTGTTATTCTTTTTTTGCCACGCTACTGAAATTTCTCTTGAACTTTCCACGCATACGTCATGCTACGCTACTGTAAGTTCTCTTGAACTTTCCATTCATGCGTCATGCTAAGCTACTGTAAGTTCTCTTGAACTTTCCACTCATGCCTAATACCACGCTACTGAAAGTTCTCTTGAACTTTCCACGCATATGTCATGCTACGCTACTGTAAGTTCTCTTGACCTGTAAGTTCTCTTGAACTTTCCACTCATGCGTCATGCTACGCTACTGTAAGTTTTTTGAACCTTCCATGCGTACGTCATGCTACGCTACTTTAAGTTCTCTTGAACTTTCCACTCATGCATCATGCTAGGCTACTATAAGTTCTCTTGAACTTTCCATGCATATGTCATGCTACGCTACTGTAAGTTCTCTTGAACTTTCCATTTATGCGTCATGCTACGCTACTGTAAGTACTCTTGAACTTTCCATTCATGCGTCATGCTACGCTACTGTAAGTTCTCTTGAACTTTCCATTTATGCGTCATGCTACGCTACTGTAGGTGCGCTTGAACTTTCCATTCATGCGTCATGCTACGCTACTGTAAGTACTCTTGAACTTTCCATTCATGCGTCATGCTACGCTACTGTAGGTTTTCTTGAACTTTCCATGCATACGTCATGCTACGCTACTGTAAGATCTCTTGAACTTTCCATGCATACGTCATGCTACGCTACTGTAAGTTCTCTTGAACTTTCCACTCATGCCTCATGCTACGCTACTGTAAGTTCTCTTGAACTCTCCATGCATACGTCATGCTACGCTACTGTCAGATCTCTTGAACTTTCCATGCATGCGTCATGCTACTCTACTGTAAGATCTCTTGAACTTTCCATGCATGCGTCATGCTACGCTTGTAGGTTCTCTTGAAGTTTCCACTCATGCGTCATGCTACGCTACTGTAGGTGCGCTTGAACTTTCCATTCGTGCGTCAGAAGATGACGCAAAACATGCCACATCGAATTAGTTTCAGAATCGGCCAAAAAACCAAAAATGCTGGTTTCGTCTAGGCGAAATGCCTGTTTTTGAAAATCTTGAACTTTCCATTCGTGCGTCAAAAGATGACGCAAAACATGTCACGTCGAATTAGTTTCAGAATCGGCAAAAAACCCAAAAATGCTAGTTTCGTCTAGGCGAAATGCCTGTTTTGAAAAACTGCACCAGAATAAGGGGTTAACGGCCTTAAATATCACATCAAACAAATTCCTATTTGCACGAGCACATCATATATGATCCATGACACCCCGTTGATCACAAAAAACCCACGGCCTCCTAGAGGCCGTGCTCCTAGTTAGTAGTTGTAGGCAAAACCCATCAAAACCCTGTTGGTTGATCAGGGTCATGCTGCCCCATCCCTGTGGAATCCTTGCGACACAACCAGAAAGCCTCAGTTTGGCTGCGCCGAACACTGTTTCACCCCTCAAACCGGCACAGTAGCTGGAAACAAATCTTGAGACGCTTGGAGAGTGCTATTTGCCCCCTAAACTGGTAGCAAGATGTTGCAAGATGAGTTGCATTGGCCTCTAAATTGGTTGCAACTCAAGACAGTTAGTGACAGTAGTGGCCCTGGTGGCCCTGAGCCAAATACCTGCTCAGCAGTTTTGTGGGTTTTCAGTATCCAGCTTTCAAAACCCACAAAACCAACACAAAAAAATAGAGAAACCCACTAATTACATGAGCAACACAAAATCTAATCTTGATACACTGATTGCAAGTTTCCTGCTCCCCTGGAAAGTAACCAACCAGTCGACCGGGAAAGAGCAACCAAACAACCATAAAAAGCCCTGTGCGTGGATACTGCCTGTGCTCCAATGCCTCCAAAACCCCACGGGGTTTATCACTCTTCCAGGGAAAATTTTCGCAAAAAGTCAAAAAGCCAAAAAGTTTTCGACTTTTCGAATTTTTCGAATTTTTCGAATTGTTCGAATTTTTCGACTTTTCGACTTTTCGACTTTTCGAATTTTTCGATTTTTTCGACTTTTCGAGCCGAAATCTCCTGGCATGTGAACTTTTCGACTTTTCGACTTTTCGACTTTTCGAGGGCAAAAATCGTGATTTTCACGGTGTGACCGATACCAGCCAGAAGAGCACACAGTTTTGGATCCCTTTCTTTTCGCACCAGGTGTACGACATTGTCAAACTTCGAACAGTGTCGCGTGACTTCGTGAAGCCGCAGGCAGGGATTTAGCCTTAGCTCTGCATGGACACCTCAGAGGACGGTAGAAGTAGCAAGAAAGAAGAAACCACAGACTGCTCTTCTTTCCACAGATTTCCAGAGGTATTGTTGGCTTTGTAGATTCTTTTGGTAACTTTCCGTGGCTTGGCTTCTGTCGCCTCAGCGAATTCCATGGATTCAATAGCTTTCACGCGTTCTTACTTTCCTTTTTTCAACAGCCACAAGTTTCTGGGCCTCTTAGATTTTTTGTGCATTCTGGCGCACCTAAGACGTCTCAGCCAATCTTGTTAGACTTGGTCTTTCACCCCGCCAAAGCAGTTTTCCGAAGTTTGCATGTCTATGTCTGTCTATGTATATGAGCGTCGTGCTAAAACCCACATGTAATTTGTTTGAAGGGCGGTACCTGAGCAACGTTTCACTTGCTTAAAACCTGCATCGCGCAAGTTGCAAGGGCGGCCCAAGATTTGCGCAAGCGAAGATTTGTGTACATACATGTAAAATGAGCGCGAATACGTCCTCAAACCAAAACTACAATGAGACCGTGGTCGCGCAAGAAACGCGCAAGATTGGCGCATGTGCGGCCCAAGGGATATTTTCACGCACCATAATTTAGCACAACCCTCATATGCTTGCATCCATGTTTAATGCATCCATGCATACGTATATATATATATATATATACATGTGCAGAGCCGCTGCGAGAATCGCAACAAGGAGCTGAGGAAAAAAATATACACATGTATAATCACGGAATTCAATGTCCATGTAAGCAGTTTAGATTGCGACGACCCCGAAGAACGTATATTTCCGCGCAAGTTTTTTTTTACAAGTAAGAGGTAGTAGTAGGTGGTTGGTGGGTAGTAGTAGGTGGTTGGTCCGTGGTAGTAGTAGGTGGTAGTAGGTAGATAAGTATGTAGATAGGTGTGATTTGACCGAAAACCGTGCCTTGATGCGTGACCGAGCCTTGACATTTGAAGGGGCCACGCGACGTGTGAGTCATGTCATGACTTGCCTCCGTCTGGCCCAAAGTCATGGGCTGGTGGGAAGGACTTGCCACTGGTTGCACATGGCTGAGTGAAAACGTTGGCGGCTACTTGCTGAACGGGGTTCAGCCATTTGGATTGGACAGGGTCCAGGTATTTTGGACATCATCTCTGGATTTAACAGGGTTCAGCTTTGTCCTTGTCGTTTTCATCTTTGCCTGGAACCGTTGCCAGTGTAAAACCCTGGTAGCGGCGCTACCAAGGCTCCAGCTTTCCGGGATTGCTGAAAGAGTGTTGATCCAGGGCGCCAAGTTTGATTCTTCTCGCATGGCAGAGCATACCAAAGTTTGTCCCAGGCATCACCAACGTTCAAGAATATACACAAAAGTTGAAGTTCCTCGCTGCCATGTTGCCGAAGGAACATCTTGATCAACTTGCGCCGGGGGGCTCTTTTTGTCGAGGGCGCCGCAGTCAAGAAAGTGGCACGTGTGGACCCTCACCAACTTCGTGTGTCGACTCAGACTGGTATTCGCAGTTGTTGGTAGATACTCTCGGTGGCTCGCGGGGTTCTTCCGAAGCAGAAGAACGTTCTGAGCGTTGCGAGAAGTCGTTGCGCGGGGCTACTCAAACAATGGATGAGTCTCATGACGCTCGCGTGGAAGCCAATTTCACGGAGTTGTTGGCTCGAAACACGACTTTGGAAGAAGTGCAGGCATGTTTGTCTGCCAGCCGACGATGTATTTTCCGACAAGGCGCATTCTTCTTCAGGACGGTGGGGATTTGAAGTACGCACCAGTGGTCAAATCATTCAGGCTCTTGGGTTCCCGATTTTTCAGTGAGTTTCAGTCTAGAAAACTTGCCATCAAGACCAAGGACTATGACATTCAGGTTTTTGAAACTGGCGATGACGAGGCCCCGGACTACATGGAGCCAAGGCATTCAATGCTTAGGTCGATGAACCAAAGCCGGACTTGGACGCTGAGTTCATGGAAATCGCATTGAGTCAGGAAGATGCAGGTGTTTTGACAATCTCAGCCTTTGAGGGCGAACTCGAGGATTTTGTCGGACAACACTGCCACGCACCAAGTCAAGACAACATATGTAGGGGCCCGTACTAGATTGCTGGAGAAATGCACAAAAGCGCGGCTTCTGGCCGTCGAAGGGCCGAGGCAAAGGATTCAAGGGTTGCGGAAAGGGCAAACGATCCCGTGATTGTGAACAGTTGTTGGCTGGAACCCCCGCACATGTCATGTCTATGGAAGATAGCTTTGTCAGTGTCTTGAGCCCTCAGGCTCATGACTTTGATTGTTTAAAAAAATGCGTTTCCAGATGCACGGATCGCCTGCATCAGCTTCGCGCACTGCGTGTCCGCAGGTCAGGTTAAAATTTTCCCTAGGAAAAGTTCAGCCGGGGAGCAAAATTTCCATCAAATCCAAGGGCAACGATGCCGAACTCCCAATGGACTGTGAATCATGAAATCAAGTCATCCCTGGATGACAGGAACCATAGCAGTTTTGTTGCTTGCCTGCCGGAGTGACAAGTTCGCCGCATGCCCGCCAAGTCGCTGAACGTTTTGAACGGGTGGATGCTTCTGCAGTGGTCAGCGATGAACGGCTCCTGACTCATGCCATCTTGGACACCGGCGCAGGCCGTTGCATCATCGGAGAAAAGACGCTGCAGGTCGTGTTAAGTCAGTTTCCCAAGCACGTTTGCGTGCGTCCAGACCACTGCCAGTAATGTCAAATTTAGATTCGGCGATCGCCAGATTCTGATCAGTAGCCACCGTATCCACTTTCCGTTCAAGAAGTTGCGGGTCGCCGTCGACGTCGTGTCAGGTGCCACTCCGCTTTTGTTTTCCAAGAGGGCTTTCAAATTGTTAGGAGGAACCTTGGATACCAAGAATGACACATGTAAGCTCACACGCATTGATGATCGTGTTCTCGAATTGGATCTCAGTCAAACCGGTCTGTTGAATGGTTTAGAGCTTTATGTTTACCGCCATCCTGAGCGCTGCGGACGCTGCGGACTCTGCGGGCGAGCTGCAGGAGGTGCTGCTTTAACCCTGGTTGGAGCTGCTGCTGCAGTACCCATGGCGGGAAGAGCTGCGGGATCATGGGGGGAAGCAGCTGTGGGGTGAAGCAAGTAGTTGCTGCTGACGCTGCGGACGAGGTGTTGTGGAGGAGGGAGGTGCTGTATAGGACCTGTGGACAGCACTTGCAGGGGAAACATCTGAGTCCAACCGTGATTCCAAACAGTCAATTCTAAAGATCCCGGCGCCTCTCTTGAATTTTTTCGGGGCCACCATGCCGAATCAGTTGGCGCTCCTTCTCCAGGTGTTGGAGAAGTTTGAGGCCAAGGCACTCGGGAAAGTCAGAAAGTGCAAGGCGACCCCTTTCACAGTATGATGGAGGAATCGCAGACTCAGCGAACCATGCTTTCTGATGAATCAAAATGTCTTGAGAAGCCAACGGAGCAGTCAGCCACAAGCCAAGCCAACCAGCAAGCCAGACAGCCACATCCACAGTGCTTACCATACCCATGAATTGAACCATGGCGGCGCCGCCGCCTCCAACAGTCCACCGCCGCCGGCGTGGGATCTGGGTTCAGGGTCCAATGAAGAGATCTTTGTGAAAGAGGCAGCAATCGAAGCCACGACCATGTCAGTGGCTGCAGGTCGCCAGGACCTCAGTGCCTCGAATCGGGGCATTCCAGGACTCGAACTTTAGTTGACCGAGCCCAGGTGTGGGGTCAAGATGTAATCACACGGGGTAAGAAACATCGTCCAAAAACTTATGAACAGGTATGCGTGGGCGCTTGGAGCCAGTTGATCGACGATTCCAACCAAGAGATCCGTAATCTTCAGCGTGAGACCATGCAACGCCCAAAAAAGCACGAACCATCATCCACAGTATCGGCGACTCAGGCCTTCATTCACGCACAGCAAGTTCGTAATCGAATACTTCAATCAAACATCAATCCAGGTGTCATGAGCTGTAGAGGTGGTAGTGGTAGTAGTAGTAGTAGTAGCAGTAGTAGTAGTAGTAGTAGCAACAGTAGTAGTAGTAGCAGTAGTAGCAGCCGTAGTAGTAGTAGCAGCAGTAGTAGTAGTAGCAGTAGTAGTAGTAGCAGCAGTAGTAGTAGCAGCAGTAGTAGTAGTAGCAGCAGCAGTAGTAGTAGAAGTAGTAGTGGCAGTCCTCGTCCTCGTCCTTGTCCTCGTCGTCGTCGCCGTCGTCGTCGTCGTCGTAGTCGTGGTCGTCATCGTCGTCGTCGTCGTCTTCGTCCTCGTCGTAGTATTATAGTAGTAGTAGTAGGAGGAGGAGGAGGAGTAGTAGTAGTAGTACCAGTAGTACCGCACAAGGCGGTGGCGGAAGTTTCAAAAATAGGAAACCTATAGGAGAGCTTGGTTGTTGTGAATCAGGGATTGCAGAGCGAAGCCACTGATGGACCGAAAGGTCGTTGAGGTCTCCTCTCTTTCTCTCTCTTTCTCTAACTACCTACCTACCTACCTATCTATCTATCTATCTCTCTCTCTCTCTCTCATCTAACTACCTTTCGATCTATCTACCTATCTACCTACCTACCTATCTATCTATCTATCCATCCATCTATCTATCTATCTATCTATCTCTCTCCCTCTCTATCCATCTATCTATCTGTCTATCTGTCTACCTGTCTATCTGTCTATCTGTGGTGCAGTGTCATTCAGTGTAAGGTAGTGTTGTGTAATGTAGTGAAGTGTAGTGGAATGTAGTGTAGTGTAATGTAGTGTAGTGTAGTGTAATTTAGTGTAGTCGAGTGTAGTGGAGATCTATCTATCCATCTATCTATCTGTCTATCTGTCTATCTGTCTATCTGTCTACCTGTCTATCTGTGGTGCAGTGTCATTCAGTGTAAGGTAGTGTTGTGTAATGTAGTGAAGTGTAGTGGAATGTAGTGTAGTGTATTGTAGTGTAGTGTAGTGTAATTTAGTGTAGTCGAGTGTAGTGGAGTGTAGTGGAATGTAGTTGTAGTTGTAGT